AAGCATAGATGGGAGTTAGCCGTTCAAGCGAAGATCTCCTTCCTTGGCTAGCAAAAACGTGTGCAGGGTAGTTCTATCTGCGATATGGCATGTCATTCACGTTAACTCGTCGGCTTTCAACTGCGTACCTTACAATGAACAGACAGTTTTAAATATTTTTGAATACCATATTTTCCTTATGTTGTATTGTTTGTCAGATTTTCTAAACAGCAAAATTCTTAACTCTGAACTATGGAATGTGGCAAAACATCGTTTGAAAACATTAAGAAGATAAATCATCTGCTGTGATCCCACTACTGCTGCGGTTGGGTTATAATCATAATAAAAAGTTAACAGAGCTTAAACAGCAAGTAGCCGAAATTTATTACTTTCCTCTCGATCATGGTTTGAGAAATAAAAGCATATGCTACTTTTAATATACCGCGCGTTTCGTTTCAGCGTGAGTCGCAATATGATCATCATAACTAACTATACGATGATTTTACGAATTATACACTAGCGATCGTACATTAAAATCTTAACATCAGTTTTTGTGTCTCAGATTATGAATCGACAAGAAGGAAGTAAATAAATAAACGGGCACAAGATCGATATGCTTGTGAAACAACCAAAATTTGTCTGACCGTTAGAAATGGAATATCAATTACCACAAGACAACATGGATAAGCAAGAATACTGTCGCGCGTTGGAAATACGATGTCCTTACCCGTGCAACTTCTTCAAAGTAAGGGGCAAAATTGTGACAATGGCCACACCACGGTGCAAAGAAATTTATTAGCCAAGGCTGTTTGTCGAAGAACACTTCGGAATTGAAGTTCCGTGATCCTATCATGACAACATTGCTTGGCAGCGAACCATAGATCCACCGTCTCAAACTGTTTGCATCCCGAGACCAATGATTATAGTCACTACAACGGCAGAAGAACATGAAAGCAAGCACATGTAACTAGCAAAATACCTTGCAGGTCCATTCTGGAAAGGATAAAGTCTAATGGTCGGAAACGAATGCACTCCCATAGCGTTGCACAAACGGTGCTCGCGGGAGCAGTCTACCTTCGAAACGTGGATGTAAGAACTAATCCGCATCAACTAAACAATCACTAAACTTCTACATAAGTAAATAATGCAACATTACTTTCGCCAGCTTTTTGTACTGCGGTTCAAACTGTATGCAGTGACTACACCAAGGGGCATAAAAGTCCACCACCCACGCTTCGTCTTTGCTGCGCTCCAATACTTTCACTTCAAATTCTCTTGCTGTCAAATCAATGACCGGTGGATGTTTCACGTCCTAAATAGCGTTACATAAAACCAACCGTTCGAAGCAGTAATGTACGCTGTTAACCATACCTCAACAAATTCCATTAGCTGACCTGCAGTGTGATATCCAACGAAAATATTCGGAACCGAATTGTTGTAAAGGATCGTTGTAGGATAGGAATTGACATCCACTGATCGACACAGGTGTTCATGCGCTTCGCAATCAATGGTCCCGAAACGCACACTGTTTCCAAGAATTTTCGCCACTTTTCGAAACTGTGGCAATAGCTGCATGCACGGTGGACACCACTAAACATTTCATAAAAAATTTCGTAGACGCGGGAACATCTACGTGCGAGCACTCGAATTCAACACCACAAAACAGCTTTACAGTTTATTTCACAATTTATAGCGTGTCTTTGGAGTCCTTACTTCGAAAACTGAAAGTTATCTTCAGCTCTTCTGCCGAAGCAAGGTAAAATCTTTTATCGAGCATATCGACAGATTAAGCAAGATAACAATACAATTAGAGAGACGTGTGCAGGTCAATTGCCAAATAAGAAGGGATTCTGATAAATTAGCGACTGAAGAATTATTAATGCAAGAATGACATTGAAGTGCAGACGTTCTGAGCTTAAATGCAATGAACTGCTAAATGAACAAATTAAGCATTATGAATCGATGTACAAGAAAAACGGCAATGACAGAATTGCAGCTGAACATGTTTTAGCTCACCACAAGTACGACTTCTAAAGCAAAATTTTAATTCCTAATTTCCCTGGTACATCAGAAAAAATTCGTTACTTTCTGAACAGCAAAGGTTTAACATACTGAAAACTTAATGCGAAAAAGAACCAAGATATTAAAACAAGTGAATTTCATACCGGAGTAAAGAAGTCGATAAACCATGTTTGACCGTGCGAAGGAACTTTAGCAGGAAATTCAGAAGGCACTAAAACCCGCACATTTGTATCAATTGTTTCGCGTGCAAACGCCGAGACCTCGTTGGGGGTC